GGTGGCCTAAATACAGTTCTAAGTGGAACAGAGTTTTGTCCCTTCGAAGGCCCGTCAGAGGACTGAGAGTCCAAGACAGTTTCCATGATAATTTAACTCAAGGTGACCCCTACACCATAGGCAATATGGAGGAAATAAAACAATCACTGAACTTTATGAGTGCAGAAGTGTCAAAACCGGCATCACAGCAAGAACCTCTGATAGATGTGAAGCTGTTGAAAGTAGTGATAAGTGACAGATAAAGGTAGCAGAACTGGAGCAAAAAGTTGATCTGGAACAATAAACAAGAAGAGATTATTTGTTACAGAATTAATATGAAATCAACAAATAATTTAATAATGCAAGTAAAAGAAAACTGAAGGGAACAAACATATACATAAATGAACCTTTAACTAAAAAATGGAAACATTGCATGTGAGGTTAAAAAACAGAAAAAAATAATAGCAACTTGGACACAGAATAGAAACACTTGGATCAGAACAAAGGAAGGGTGTCAGGCTAGAAYAATAAAAGAACTAAAGGATTCAGATGAGTTCAGGAAGGACAGATCACAAACAACTTGGCACAAAAGGAATTAAAAATATATGGACAAATGGACACAGTGGACACATACACTAAAATATTAATACAAACGAAGACAGAGTCTAAAATATATGATGGAGATAATATGTTTGATTCAAAAGCTTTCCTTGTAATCAAATATTGTGAATATCAATATAACAAATAGAGCTCTGTATAATTCATTTTAATAGTGGAAGTATAAATGCAAATGTACCTAAAACAACAGATTATTTAAAATAGTTAAACATATTTTTCAGTAGCACTTTCAAAAACATGGCTCAATGATGAAATATAAATAATGTTCACACTGAAGGTGAGCTATACAGTATCCTACGAATGTAAACGGTAAAAGTGGTGGTGGAGTTGCTCTACTTATTGAGACAAGATAAAATGTAAATTAAATAATAAAATATCAATACTTGTTGATAATATTATGGAAATAATCACCACTGAAATAATWAATTAGAATTCTAAAAACACAAGTTGTCTATATCGATCACCAGGATCAAGTATAGATAGATTCATCAATCAAATCACGGAGCTACTGGAAAACAGTTCTAACAAATAAATTTTTCTGTGTGAAGACTTTAAYATTGATCTGGGAWATAAAACAGACTCAATAAATAATTTTGGTACATTTATAAACTCAATGTACAGTTTAAATAAAATGGATAAATTAAAAGACAATTTAAAAACACAACTGGAAGGATATACGTATATGTTGATGATGTTAACAGAGCATATGATGTGTGTATGAATATTTTATGAGCTCTGTGAGAAAAGAATTGTGTTCAAAAAAWATACAAAGAGAAATATTGTTGACAACCATGGATGACAAAAGGGTTGAGAAGTGCTTGTAAAAACAAATTACTTGTATTCATCTTGCGGACAAAAGATCAGAAGATTGGGTTGACATGGATGTGTTTGTAAAGGATATAATAAATTATGTTATTGAGCCGTTTACATATATATATAT